TGATTGACATCCACTCTGAAGCCTTGTTATGAGCACTTATATTAAAACTTCAAGAGGCATCTCCGTCATAACAACACAGCACAAGCCTCAGTGGGCTCTACAAAGAACTTTTTCCCGCTTTCAAATATGAGCTCAAATAAATCATTTGTTTAATTAATTAATCAAATTAGGCAAATCCAGGGATGCCTTGGCGGATGGAGCGAGCGCCCTGGCACAAGGAGATTAATTAAGTGGATCCGTACGGGAACAGGGAGGCTGACATTGGAGTTTAATGCCCTTGTTTGGTTAGATACAGCCAGCCTTAGCTTATTGGTGCTGATACGTGGACAGGAGTGTTTGTAAGGCGCATGTTGGCTAGCGTTCAACTTTGTGTAAGCTCTGCAAAGAGTCACGGGGCTGTATGAATCAAAGAAGGGCAAAGACAAGTGTTCGTTATTTCTACTCTTTCCAAAGAGTCACAAAAACTAAAGGAGACACACATTTAGAAAATATGCATCATGCAAACATCTGCCTCTATGTCTCATCCATCCCTCATTATGTACCTCTTCCCCCCGGCGGTGCCATTCCAGCCTCCACGCTTGATGTATGCACTGCATCACATCACATCTGACCGTGAAGAATTCACGCTTTTGTCTGCTGGATTGGTCTTCCGTCCGCCATCCATTATAGCCGCTATGTCTCCGATTCAACGGGGCGTCGTTAAGTGGAATGAATATAAAATCCTTCCTCGAGCATTTTACATGCAAAGAAACGCATGATTAATGTGCTGCTCAGGCATGGACACAGTGGTGGAGACAGTGCTTTTTCATTGCTCCCCCTCACCTGTGTCTTGTTAGTCTGTGTGTGTATTTAAGTGCTGTTTCTTGTTAGGCTGGGTGTGTGTGGGAGATCTTTGTGGAACATTTTGTTAATCCTGCAAAGGCTGGGGAGCTCTACTTAAAGTCCGCAGAAATATTCCTTATCTTCCTCAGAAAGTGTTAAAAGTCCGTGTAACGACGAGACGCCGTTACTAGAGCTCTCCGTAGAACATGTTTATATAATTTATTGATGTAGTATTTATTTAATGGTATAAGTGTTCACCCCCATCTTGTCTGTTGCTTCCTGTCGTCTCTGTGTTCCCTCCTACTGATTACCCAATTGTGTTCACCTGGTGCCCTGTGTTGTCTCCTCCCCCCTCACCTGTGTCTAATTGCTCCCCCTCACCTGTGTCTTGTTAGTCTGTGTGTGTATTTAAGTGCTGTTTCTTGTTAGGCTGGGTGTGTGTGGGAGATCTTTGTGGCTGCAGGATGTGTTCACGGAGAACAGCAGGATTGAGGCTGTGAACTTTGTGCACATTATTTTAATAAATGCCCACGTCGGGTTATATTTTTGGACGTTCTGCCTCTGCCTCCTTGCTTGGTGGGGCCGCTCAACGGTCAGTCTCACAGTCAGATATATAGATGTGTGTGGACATCCAAATGGGGATAAAAAGGGAACACCTGAGGCCTGTACGACGAAGCCGGTTCAACATAACCTGGATATGTTTGAGTTACCCGGTTTACCTAACCCAAAACAAACGCGCTCTCGCTAAGCCATCCTACGACACTGGTTATCAACTCGTTAACTCAAGCCAGCTTTGGCCTATTTAGTTATGTGCGCGTTCACATGAAAGGGGTGGTATTTGGAGCATTCGACCAATCACAAACATGGAGAAACGTACTGACAGCGCAGCGCGTCATACTTCCTGAATGAAAAGTCAACTATAATATTAGACAAATATGAAGACTTTAAACCTCCATGACTTAAACACTTTATTCAGGATAAAAGCCACATAGCTGCACCTGCAAGGTGATTACAGCTGGTAAAAGAAAAAGTGTTTGAATGCGTACATTAACAGGTTTATGATATCACTGCCCCGTCTAAGACACGAGTGGATCTGACTTTAATTACATTTGTCTCGAGTGTTTCGTCAACTTAATGTGTTGGTTAAAATAATACTTCTACATACAGTATGTGACACTGAGTGTTGCACGGCCAGATACGGCTCAAGAAGCTGACTCAGATAAGGAAATAGGCCAATATGATGTGATATGATTCATGAATGATAATGGGACACATTGACATCTGCACTCACAGTGCCGTGGACTGTACTTAATGTTACTTTGATCCGGTTACTTATGTTGTGACAGATATTTAAGTAAGCTTTCTTAACGCTAATGTTATAATAGTCAGATTGCTCTGAAGATGGAGGTGATATTCTATTAATTTTCACATTCACAGTCGGTGACTTTTGCCGGCCGTCTTTCCTGCAAAGGCAGTTTAAACTGTATTTCCTTTCTCCTGTAATATGACTTGATAGCTTAAAACTCCGCACACTGAGATCTGATTGGTCAGCAGGCAGTGCTTTCACTGAGTTGAGCTCTTAGCCTGCAACCTAACCTGCTCCGGACCAGGATAGCCGTTCAGCATAAGTTACCATGGAGATCTAGCCCGCTAAGAAGTGAACCAGCGTCGTAGGACCGGAAACCCAGACAGAGTTTTCCCTGAAGTTAGCTCGCTAAGCGAAAATCCGGCTTCGTCGTACAGGCCTCTATATGCATGTTTTTTCTGGATGCTTTCGTACTCATCCCATGTGAAACCGGGCATGTGTGTGAAAGAAAGTCCCTTTATTTGATTCCATTCTCTTATGCACATGTGTGTGCATGCCTGTACAAAGAGAAAAGGGACTGCAGATCCAGAAGTAGGGCAGCATCCCCTGGAGATCACATCTCTAACACTCTCAGGGAGAAACGTGCACAATGACATGGCAGTGAATATTCCCCCGCTGCACAACAATACACTGGCAACATCTGGACGTGGCTGCTAATAGCATCGGGTTTTGTCGGGTGTTAAATGCTGTATATTTGTTCATTATTTACTTGGGAAGAAACACTTCATCTGGTGCTCCAACAAGCCCAACATAATCAGATGATCTTCTTTTAGGGCGGCCGTTCTCAACCTGTGGGTTCGAGAGATAATTTGTTGGGGTCGCCAGATGGTTGTGCAGAGAAATATAAATTTGAGATTGCAGAATGGTTTACTTATTATGTATTTCTTAGAGTTTGTTAAGGACAACGTGCTGCTGTAGGGCATTAGTTAAGGCTCCAGAAACAATAGCTCCTACAGTCCATGGTGTCAGATGCATGTCACCTCTTCCTCTGGGATCAATGCGTGATTGATTGCTGTGGTATGAGCAACAAAGCAGCATGATTGATTTAAAGGAGTGTGCAGGTGCTTTTGAAGGTTTCAGTCCATTTATGACAAATCATGCATGCATTGCTGCTTTCCCAATGGTTCACACAGCTTGGAGATTGATGGATGATTTTCCATAGTATTTCATACCATACTGACATAAACAAAAAGCAGCCTGGAAGGTAAGAGCGCTGGTATGCTTGGACAAAGGTATTAATGTTAGGTAGATTAGATTATGGTAAACGGGCTAAAATAAAAAGCGTACTTCTGGTAAATAAACTGTCTGTCACAGAGAGTCTACAGCGCACACGTTTCAGACGCATTTCTCAGACGTCTGTCTCATTTAAACCTCCGCACATCCATCCACCATGACACCTTCCTATTGGCTGAGATACTTAGTGTTCATCCATCCAACACACCATCGACTAGGTTAAACACTTTTTTTTTTCCGATGGTGTTTGTGGAAAATGGATTTCTAGTAATAAGACAGTGTCCGCCTCTTTAGAAAAAATCAAGCAAAATGTCAATAGGTCAAAACCGTGAATGCACAAACTACATCATCTTCCCTGAGGTACTGAACGTTTCTGTGCTTATATTTACATGAAATTGCAAATACTGCCATCATATGTTATGTTAGCATTAGAACCCAGGGATATTGCTAAAAAACCTGCTATCCTGATGTAGATATGCATTTTAGTCTTTATGAAATAACCACTGTATGTGTATAATCCTATGTGAAATAAATACTGAATCCTTCAGGGTGCTGTAACTTCAGAAAGGTAAATATTTGTTTGCTTTCTCACAAAAGCTGCAAACAAACACAAAGTGGGTAACCATTAACCAAAAATGAATTTGTATTTCTGTTTAAAACTGCAGCATTTTATCCTCATTATCTCTCTATTCTCTCGTTTGCCTGACTTGCACTCAGTCAACCTCTCAAATCAATATTTCTAAACAGAGATTCTCGACATAGCATTGTCCGCTGACGTCTTCCTGTTGAGCATTCAAGACAAACTAAGAATACTTAGAAAGCAGCTTTCATTAGCCTCGGCCCTGGGTAGATATCGCAGCACAAAAACTTTTCAATTAGCTTCAAATCTCTCAGTAATGCTTTTAGCCATATCAAATTAACATTGTTATGGGCGATTGCCTCCAACCCTAAATCCTACTTGAATGTAACCAACAGCCTTATTCACACACAAAACTTCACACACCCTCAAACCCTCAACCACCACCGCTGATTTCTTTTAATCTGAATTTAAATGACTTCATTTAGTTTGCCTCTGAAACAATCCGCACAAGGCCAAAGGGAAACGCTCCGAAACTACGCCGCTTTCTGTTTAAGCGAGATGTGGGAAAAGAGAGTCCTTGCAACTTAATCTCTAGATCTTAATGCGTGAAATGATAAAAGCTTTTTGCTATACGAAACATGCAGCACAAAGCCAAAGCTGTGTTAATGATTCTTTGAAAGTAATTTCAGTTAATTTCCTATCGCCAAGAGAGCAAGAGACTGAGACGGGAGAAAGAGGGACAGATCTAAAAATAGACAGAGAATCAGAGATAGGAACCGAGTGCAAATAAGAAAAACTTTCAGGGAATTTAATGAGTGAAACAGCTAATTAGCGAGAGGAGAGATAGATGCAGAATATGTGGCTTTTATCGTAGTTGGCCGACAGAATGTGTCTCTTAAAATAGCAAAAGGATGATATTGTGGTACAGCCTGAAAATGGAAGAGGTGTGTTTGTGCCCACATCTGCTCCACACACACATCTCAAACAGGAAACACTCACCGAGAGCGGCTGGTGCAAAGAGGCTGGCGAGGACGAGCAGGCGTGCGGTCCACATGGCCTCCTCCTCTTACCGCCCGCTGCTCCAGGTCCCAGTAGAGTTCAGTGTTGATCTCGCAGACGCACAAATCGGTGCTTCCTTTGCGGCAGGGCTTCCTCCACTGCGCCACGCTTCCCACAGAAAAACCGAGCAGAGTCCCGTTACTCCAGATGCCGTCCAAAATCTGCCATAACACATAGAAGAAAATACATGTTAGCTGATTTAAAACGAATGAGTGATTTGCTCTTTTGCAGGAAGAAACACAACAGATGGATGCACCGTGGCTTCATCGTCTTGTGGCTCCAAGTTGTCATCGAGTGACACGCTGCAGTCAGCTGAACTCATACCGGGTGTGATCAACAAAACACGACACACAAAATGTATTTTAGGATAATCTGCTGTTGTTTGCTCATCAATGTGTTACCAGTTAATCCCCCCCGCAGAGAGAGGAGGTGTAAGCCACGTTGCTTTGGGCGTAAGAAGTATACGTCTTTGCATATGTGCTGCAGACCTTTCGAGTGCTCCTGATGGTTATTGACATAAGTAACGCGGCTGTGTTTTCGCTCTCCTGTGGGCAGGAGGCAGCACTTCACAGCTTGACTTGTTGCACCTGTGAATTTATTTGCGAGGCATAAGAAAACACTATACTGTGCGCGCAGGCTTTGCTCCAAAAAAAAAAAAAAAAAAACACCAAGCAGATCCTCTCCGAAGAGCAGAATGAGATGGAGCCACCTTCCACCTCCTCTCAGATCATGGGAGTGCCGTCACCAGCGACCTCCTGACACCGGATGAAGTCATCGCCATGAGCTTCTTAACATAACATGAGCTGAGGGAACATCAAATGTGATTCACACGGTGTGACTTCAGTGAGATCGACACTTGGGATGGGTTTATTTTCACAAAATGCTGCGAAGAGAAGCACACATCCTATAAGTGAACACACTGTTAGATTTGTTTGTGATAATCCACATTAAACCCATATCACGATATTAAGGTTAAATCAGGTTTAATGATTAACCAAAACCTCTTTATCAATCAGGATCTCCTGCAGAAATATAATCTCTGCAACATGATACAAGCCAAATACTACACATTATCATGCCTTACTGCGTTTAATATCCCAGGATGTAATTCCACTGGTAATAAAAAGGTCAAAACGTGAGCACGGCATCAAAGGACAGGACACTAGAGATGCTGACTGACGGGAACATCTCAAATTATACCAACATTACATTTTAAAACATCTCTATCAGACATTCAACGTCCATCCCAGCATGATCCGTCTCAAAATCTAGCTCTTAATACCCATTCAAATATCCCAGATTAGAGCAATCCGCTTTTTTAAGCTGATATTAATGGGTTTAAGAGAAAGCCTATCTGCAGAAACAGAACATTTGGGCAATATTAAGAGGTTAAAAGTCGGCGTGCTCATCAGCAAAGTCTTGGCAGAGTGGCGTCAGAAGCACATCTGCTGTGCTGCTGGCTTCTTTTCCTGTTTATATGCATGATGACAGGTATTTTTAAGACGTTAAAATAGCGATGTCAGAGAGTGCATTTGATCAAAGTAATATCCTCGTGAGTAAACAGCGCTTTTAATAAAAGACTCTGACAGCTGCAGGAGCACTAAATTAAATATGACAGCAAATCAAGACACTGTGACTCCCTTGATGAAAATAATACATTATTGCAGGCGTAATCACATTTAAATTCACTGTCCAAGCAGCAAATTAGACTAGAAGTTTACTCCGTAGCTGGAGCTGTAGAATAACAAGGAGGCACAGGTACATGTCGGAAACATATCAGACATGACAATATGTCACTTATTTTTGGCATGATGGTTGCAGATTTGCACCTAGAGTGTCGAAAGTATGCAGGGGGCAAGAGAAGGAAATACAGAATGAAGACAATGAGAGTGTGTCTCACCGTGTGAATTCCATATCTCACAGCACAATGGATAAAGCGGTGACTACTTGCACAGGTGTTACTTATCGCATCAAATGTAAAAACACTTCACTATCACAGTCGTTAATTTGCTCTGAAAACGTGTGGGCTGAGGTACAGGAACTGCTAGCGAGCGCCAAGCGGAGTATCATAAAAATACATATTTATGAGAAGGGCTTGGACCCAGTTCAATGCAAAAAGAAAGAAGGAGACGAGCGAAAACTAAAAAGACGGAGCGGTAGTCCGGTATTTGCCAACTGGTCTTGTATTCCAGAAGGAGCGTCGTGATGCATCGTGGTGCTGACGCTTCAAGGGTACTGCCTCTGAGGGGGATTTAGGAGAACTCCCTCAGATAACTTGGCCAACATTTAGCTTCTGTTCTACAAACATCAAGGAGACTTCTTCATTACAGTCTGGAGAAACTTTTCCTAATCACTCATGTCCTTGTTTTTCTTGTAATCATGCGTGTGCCAGAGGGGCCAGATGAAATCTGACAGGTCTAATTAATTGACTTTTCTGTCGAGTTAAAGTCAAATGGAGCTGGGTGACATAATACCAGCAATGGTTGATAAGGGGAAACATGTTGTCTCGCAGCAATCATGTGACATGGAGAAAAAGACCAGAACGTTAAGGGATATGAAACATTTTAACTTCATTCAAGCTCCTAAATTAAAGCTGCATTCAAGGGGCCTGGGAGTAATTGAGACTAAATATTTCAAGGAAAACACACTGTGGTTTTTTTTCTTTATTCATTATTCATGCGTGGTACTACTGTCAATGACAATATCATCTATCAGGAAAGGTGTTTCAGCATTAAAGGATGTTTGGCTTCACTGATGTGCTACTCACCACCTCCAGCATCTTTACATTGATAATGCTCCTCTGCTCCTCGCATTAAGTGAGAGTCAAATGTGTGATGCTGCAATTAGGTAAGATATGTGACCGTGCTTTATCAATGACAACACCTGTAGGGAACAAACAATCCTCTGCAAGGCTGCCAGAGGGAAACTAAATACATGTTTTGCAAACGCTGCTATCGCCCTGGCATTTGGTGCAGTGTGAACTGGATTATTTCAGATATTCTGTCTTTTGAATTTCTACTCTGCAAGAGGGTTAACACTGTCCCGAAATTGACACCCGATGGACACACGATTAAGGAAATGTTCAAATTCGGCTCTGATCGTAACAACATCGGGCCATTCATGAGGGCATCTTAAGCCATCGTATGACCGCCGGTGGAGTTTCTCAGGCTCCGGCAGAAACTTCGGGAGCGGTGGCAAAATCTTTGGCATGTCAAAGATAGATGCCCTCACGAATGGCCCGATGTTGCTACGATCAGAGCCGAATTTGAACATTTCCTTTATCGTGTGTCCATCTGGTTGTTTTATTGCACAACAAAATCATGTAAACATATTATGTAAATAGCCCAGTTTGTGTCGTGAAACTAAAAAGGATATACTATATTATTTTCGAGGCGAGGAAGTGTTCTGTTGCTATGGAAACTCAACATGACGGAGAAAACTTAGATATCGTCTAACATATGAAGAGACGGAGAAGTAAGACAAAGTGGGAAAATGCTCCAAGTACGTGATCATAATACTGTTAACATAATTGGTTTTGTGTCACATCTTCGCTTGCGTTGTATGCTCTTCAAATGTAATCGTAAATGTTTGCCTTCGTGTGTGGTTCGGGGCATTCTCGTGCGAAATTACAAATCCATATTCGTTGTCAATTCGCGACGTGTGAAGGGCTTTAGCCCCGAAGTCAATTATGTATCCAATTGGTCGTTCACCATGCTTTTTACATAAACTTTCTATTTAAAATACAGCAACTACTGGTTTGCATACTGAGTCACTGCTACTCTTCCACTGTGACTCGCTCTACCAAAGAAAATCACTAGTCATTTCGAAATGCATTAAGCATCCTCTGACAGAATTAAAGGTCATCAAACATACTGGGCTACATTACTTGTTTTGAAACTGACTCAAAGTAACTAATAAAAAGCGATGATCTAAATGCTTCCCATTTACTCATGTTACGGTTTACAGAAACTATAACAATACATCTAGTGTAAGTGGCAAGTGACTTGCTTAAGCGGGGAGTTAATTACCTCGTGAAATTAAAAAGCAAAAGCAGTTCTGGCTCTTGATCTTTGGTATGCCGCACAAAACCGGTAGCTCAGACACATATTCATATCTCTATCTTCAGCTTTAAAAAAAATACTTACAAATAGAATTGCTAAACAAAACAGCTAGTAACGAACAAAAGGGAAGGTTTGCATGGAGGTAGAAAGATGCATGAAACAATTCGTAATGTTGCTATTTTTCTGTACATGCAATGATTTTATATGTTTATAAGCCATTTTTAAGATGAGACACCTGATAATATCTGAAGGATACCTGTGCTGCAGTCCCTCATGCCTCTTCCCCCTGGGTGTTAGATACGATATGAAGACATCCGAGGAGAGATGTCGCATCACTCTGAACCGCACCCTCAGCGCCTACAGACATGTTCCATTCGGTATTCCTGACCCGAGGAAAACCAAGATTTTCATTAAATAGATGATTCTTACGTGCTTCTGCGAAACTGGATCTGCGTGTGTATCTACGGGGACATCTAAGAGCATGTCCTCGTCATGCCCTTGAAGTCCCCAACAAGTTACGCTATGACTATGAGTTCATTGTCCTCTGATTTTCATGATGCGGATGCTAGTGCAGCAGCAGGCGATAGGGTTAATTATTATGAGACTGGTGCAGTGTGTTTCATGCAAATGGATGTGTCTGGATTCGAAATGAATATTGTTATATTCCGCACACTTGTCTGCTACAGTTCTGATTTGATTGAGCACTTTCTCTCGGTTAATGATTCTCTGTAGATGAGATTGATTTCTAGAATATGTTTTGAGATATACCTTCCTTTCTTAGAGTTAATAGATTCTTTGTTTTCGCCACTGGTGGGCACCTTGCGAACTTGAGCGGTCATGTTATAACTCTCAAACAGAAGCAGAAATGTCACATCATCGCTTTCTAATCGAGTCTGAAAGGTGTGAAGTAAAGGAGATGGCTCTTTTTAGAACATGCCCTGGAGCTCACAACATGAGCAGCGAGCGTTCACTCCACAAATTCCACAGTAACCCTCGACCAACAGCGAGCAGTGACAGGCAGATAAAGCACCTAACTTAGCGCACAGTGTCACTGATGCCCTCTATGATGAGGTTCTTGAGTGTGGACTGATGAGCTGGGT